GCTTAACCGACTGCGCCACCCAGGCGCCCCTCCATTTTCTCTTTAATGGTTTTGCATGGATTTCAGGCAGTTCTCCAACATCACTTACACAAATTTCATGCAATCTTGCATTTTGCATAAGAATTCCAATTTCACATTACAATTTTTCCACCTGTTCTTGCACTGTATTGCTGAAATCAACGTTTATTTATTTTTGGGACAGAGAGAGACAGAGCATGAACGGGGGAGGGGCAGAGAGAGAGGGAGACACAGAATCGGAAACAGGCTCCAGGCTCTGAGCCATCAGCCCAGAGCCTGACGCGGGGCTCGAACTCACGGACCGCGAGATCGTGACCTGGCTGAAGTCGGACGCTTAACCGACTGCGCCACCCAGGCGCCCCTGTATTGCTGAAATCAATCAAGAGACTGGGCCACAAAGATTCTGACAAAGGAATGTAAATAAACACTAATGTTTTATGAGAAGCAGTGGGAACTTCATAAAACTGGTCAGTTTATTAACAAATATTTTCATGTTATAATGGCTTTTGCTTTCATATGCAACTGTGGAGGTTTGGAAAATTAATATGCAATGAGGATATATGCCCCCTATAAACTATCTCACATGGTTACTATGTTTTTCAGTCCTAGTAGCATTTCTCTGACCAGATTAAGGTCTCAGAGACATACCTCATTTGCTGATTTAACAGGTGTTTATTGGATGCTTATTCCTTGTTATTTAGCTGTGGTAAGTGCTGAGGACACAAGGATAATAAAGAGACTAGGTATTTATTCCATGAGAGTTACATTCTTAAAATGGAAGACAGGACAGTCAACTATTTTAAATTAAATATGTAATGGAAAATAAATTTGGAGAAATGGAACACCCAAAATTCTACACTATGATCTATAAAGCCTATATGATCAGACTTTTAATTGTAATGGGAAGCCATCAAAACACAGAGGACTCAATTTAATTTTATTTATGTTTTACCTAATAGCTAAGCATTAGTACATTATCCTATTTCACAATCACTTAGAATTTCCTATGTTATTGGCTCACAGTGATTAAAAGTTAAAACTGAGAGTAATTAAATGTGCAATTCATTTGCATAATTTTGGGGCAGATGAAATTGATCACAGCCTCTCATTTAATACAATAAGCTTCATTCACAAGTTTACTATTCTATAATCATATAGATTCTCTGAACCACTCAAATATATGAAAAATCAGAAATTAAAATTTTGTCTCAAACAGAAATCACTTTCTTTCTTTATACTTACTATTTCTCTTTGCCGCTCTATTGTATTTATGTTAAACTTTTACTGGTAATTTCAAAGTTGCTTTCATTGAAGGAAATTTCCCTTTAGAGTAAAAATGTCCCACCAGTAATCCTGTACTATAAGGAAAATTCTATACTTACAGCTACAACAGCTTCAGCTACTCCAGTCAACACAGCTGGCCTAAGAGAATGTAGCAGAATCTTACTCTCAAGTAAAACAAAGAGCAGCAGTGTTGCACAATTCTCAGGACCCAGATTCATTAACAAGGTGCTAAAGTTGGCTCCACTAGGAGAAAAGAAAAAAAGATGATGAACTATTTTGCTAAAATATGTTAAGATTTGCTTATAAACTATTTCCTAAATATTAACAGACTGAGCGTCTAATGTTAATTTCAAGTCCTGATGTAGTTATCACTGAGAAGTAGCAAATTTATTGAGCTAGTCTAACAATGTTTCAGTCTCAACCTTTAGTAATGAGAGGAGAGTTTATCAGGGAAGATTTTCCCAAAGAACTACCATTTGGAGGTGGGGTTGGGGAGAAGCCAACACATGCAAAGGCAATGAGGCAAGAAAAAGCTACCGTGTCTGCAAAATTGAAATACACCTATTGTGACTAAAGCATAGTAGGGAAGGGTCAAAAGATTATGTCAAAATAGAAATGACACAAATTATATTTACATTCTCAAAAGAACACCTGGCTGCAGTGTGGATAAAGAAATGAAGGAAGAACAGAAGGATACCAGTTAAAAGGTTAATAATGAAGTTGTCCAGGTGAGAGATCATGCTATCCTGGACTTTTGATGCAGATAAACAGAACATAAGAGATTTGAGACATTTGGGGAGGATAAAATCAGTTCACTTTGAATATTTAGCTACAAACTGGATAGAGGGGATGGGGAAGAGGGAGGTATTCCCCACACCCAATCTTGCAACTCTCTTAAATATTCCATTTTTAAAATGGTGAATGGCCCACCATCCACCCAGCTATCAAAGATAGAAATATGAAGGCTATACTAATGTAAAAGATAACACTTAACTTTATTAAATATTTTCAAGCATTCTGCTCCAAGTGAATGAATATATCATTTTAGATACCATTAATAATTACCTTAATGGTAAAGGTGTAGAAACTGGCTGTGATAATATTAATGCATCATGGACTGAAAGCTTAAAAAAAAAAAAAAAAAAGATGAATTAATCAAGCCAATCTTGAAACCTAAATATTTACATCAGGTAAAACAGAAAATAGTTTAATAGGCAGACTGACATAGTTTTGGAAATGTAGTAAGCTATTAAACAATAGCTGTATTTACTCAGAGGTATTATTTTAGGTCTTTTAAATTAAATGGTTAATTCAACTGAATTTGGATTCAGTTAATTATTTATAATAGTTATCTTTAAATTATGGAATAATTGCTTTTTAAAAGCTTGAAGTTTATTTACTCTACAGACTGGTAAGCATTTGGCTTGATTACTATAAATTAATACTTTCTGAACTGAAGTATATACTTGCTGAACTGAAGTACATTCAAGATCAACAATATTTGACTTAATGCTACCATATCACAAAGTTGATAACATCTTAGAAAAAATTTTACAATAGCTTGCCTCTACGTATCAATGATACTCAAAGTGTCAGTCTGCAAACTGTTGTTGGCCCAGGAAAAGATAGTATATAAATGGAGAGCAAGCCATTTAGAAGCTTTTATGGCAATAAGACGCTGCTCTCACATCCAAGTACGTGATCAGAGGACTCATGTCTCTGGACAGGGTACAGACATGTTCATGTCTACACTGGTCTCACATGGTAAGGTGCAAATGGAACAAGCTGTATACTTATATAGGTCTGCCACTGATTGGAAATAAAAAGAAACTGGTCATTTAACATAGAAAATGTGAAGACCACTACAGACTATTTCACTTTTTCCCTCCAACCACAAATCACTTTAATTAATATTTATTAGTTGCTCTATTTTAATTACATTATTAAAATCAGCTACATAAATGGCATGCACAGGCCAATGGTGATAATGTCATGAATCAAAGATTATAATTATGCCAATTGTGTGCACCCAGATAAAATATAAAATACAGGAGATTCCAGGCCTTTATGAACACATGTTGCTCTGCCTCAAACTCAAGGGGCCACAGAATTGACTCTGCAATGACGAGAATGAACATAATGCAGATCTTCCTCCAATGGACTTGTTCTGATTACCTGTACAAGGATTCTTGGTCTTTGTGCTGAAGGAAAAGGGATGTTTTGCATGAAGTGTGAAATATGCCTGAAAAAAAAAGGTGAAATACAGATCATAATTACTTTTCTAAAATGCTTAGATTTTAACAAATTCTAAGTATATTAAATATATTATTAGATACACCATCCTAGATCTGACAAAGCCACTGACCTAAAACTTATGCTAAATAAATATCCTTAGCGCAAATAAATGTACTCATCCCACTAAACTTCTGAAATGTACAATGTATTTCCTGATTAAAAGTCCATATTAATATACCTTAATATTGCAAGGAAAATAAGAGTAACACAAATATACTTTTCATGAAAGAAGCTTATTTGTATTGTTCTGATACCAGTGCCAGTACGGTGAGCAATTGTGATACAATACAATTTAATCCTAATAAGTAATTAATATTAATTAAATAGTAATTTAATCAATATAGTTCTTTTACTATAACTCTGAGCAAACCACTTGCCTCTCTATTTCTCCACCTACAAATAATGCTTAAGTTTCTTCAAAGCTTTGAGCTCTTAGGAGCCACTAACATGCAACTGAGAAAAAAATATTGATCACATACCCTGATTTTATTTCCTCAAACTATTCATAGAACCTCAATTTTTCAAAAGGATGCTAACTTGTCCCTAACATTAAGTTTTATTTCAAACAATTTTAAGTTAATCTGAAAGCTAAAAGTTAAACCTAGAACTATGAACTATTAGTTTGGCATTCCAAGAGTACAGCATAAAAGCTGAACCCATATTTCTACACCAAATTGTGGTAAGTTTAAGCAGAGTACTTTACTACTTTCTTAAGATGCTTTTTGAGCAGCATTATTTTAAAACCTATAGAGAACTGCCCTACCCTTCTACTACCTAGTATCCTTCGCTGATATTCTTTCTGCTGTAATGTGAAATTTCTGAAATTGTATGAAAAATCCATGTTTATGCACACTATAATACATTTCCACCAAGCTCTGAACATGCCCAGGTTTGTTAGGAGGATAAAGCATTTACTACAATCAACAAAAGCCGTGTGCCACTACAAGTCTGAAAAAATGTTGTTTTTTTTAAAATAATCTCTACACTCAGTGTGGGTCTTGAACCTGTGACCCCCAGATCAAGAGTAGGATGCTCTACCAACTGAGCCGGTCAGGCGCCCCAAGATGTGGTTTTTAAAAGGCAGCGGCTCCACATATATTCTTCTTGCTTACAACAGATTTCCATGACAAAGGGAATTACAAATCAACTGGAAAATAAGGACAGTGTCTCAATACTAAAACCCAAACCTCACTTCTGGCATCAATTAACTCACCCTTCTTAATTTCTTAATTTCTATATCAGTTTTGAGATGCTTTATAGTTAGAACCTGGAATGCCATTTATATGGTTTGGGGTGTGTGTGTGTGTGTGTGTGTGTCAATAGTTATTTTTCTCTTCGTTATTAGAGAATAAATAGGAAGAACACAGACAATACACTGTATAATGAGTTCCTCCTCAGCTGAATCTTCAAAAGATTATTATTTGATCATTCTAACTACCACTCCTCAGTTTTAAAATCAATGACTCAGGTGTAGAAGGGAACAAGTAAAAAGTAAGGTGACTGTGACTCTTCTTCCCTTTCAACTTTTTTGCTTAAGTCAGGTAAACAATGAAATGTACACATATACAACCAGCTTTTCTACCAGACATCTTTCTAATCATCATACATACTTTTCAATGGGAAGAGGATGTGGTCCAGACACAGAAAGTTTGTAGATAAACATGAGAAATTTTCTAAAAGCTTCAAAAAAAGGCCAGTGTGAGAGTAAACAAATGCATTTGTTTGAATTGATGGATTTGGAGACTACTTTTCTCTCCACGGGGGTCAAGAGGCCCAGCTGCATAAGCTGTTTCTCTGTCAGAAGTTCCCGAGAATAAGGTTCATAAAACTGGATGGCAGCTCCATATACCTACAGAGTAAAACAGAATTCCATTACAAGATTTGAGTTTGCTTTTAAAAATTTCTCTTTATCTCTCAATACAAAAGAAACACTAGTTTAGAGGGCATATGACAAATGATAAGAAAAATCTCAAATACTGCTGACAGGAATATAAAATGGCACAGCTGCTGTGGAAAACAGTTTGGTGACTTCTCCAAAATTTAAAAAAGAATTACCATATAATCCAGCAATTCAATTAGTAAGAATGTACCCAAAGGAATTGAAAGCCAGGACTCAAACAGATACTTGCACACCAATGTTCATAGCAGCATTATTCACAATAGCCAAATGGTGAAAACAACCCACTGTCCACCAACAGATGAATGGATAAAACATGGTATATACACGTGATGGAATGTTATTCATCCTTAAAAAGGAATGAAATTCTGATACTGCAACCTGGATGAACCTCAGAAATATTATACTAAGTGAAATAAGCCAGACACAAAAGGACAGATATTATATGATTCCATTTATATGAGCTACCTAAACCAGGCAAATTCATAGAAATTAGAGTAGAGATTACCAGGAATCAGGGGTAAAGGTGGAAGAAGCTGCTGTTTAAGGTAATGAAAAAGTTCTGGAAACAGTGATACTTTTCTTTTATAAATCTTATAACTATTTAGTCACTATATGTATAAATAGTCATGTATATGTGTATGTATATGTGTATACATATATGTATATATATGCATGCACATACACACATATATATACACATACAGACACACACACACATATATATACACGCACATCACTACATACAGTGTGTGTGTACTGCATTAACCCTTATCTTTACAAATACAACACTCCCAGATACAATTATTTCAATGATCTCAGAGATTTTTTTTTTTTTAGGTTTATTTATTTATTTATTTAGAGAGAAAACAAATGGGGTAGGGGCAGAGAGAGAGGGAAAGAGAATTCCAAGAATTCTGACACAGAGCAGAGCCTGATGCAGGGCTGGAATCCATGAACTGTGAAATCGTGACCTCAGCCCAAATCAACAGTCAGATGCTTAACCAACTGAGCCACCCAGGAGCCCCAATGATCTCAGATTTTTTTTTTTTTACAAACAATATGACAAAGGCTTCTTAATGAGGCCTTGTTGTTTTCTACCAATCACAGTAATTTTTTTTTTTAACATTTATTTATTATTATTTTTTAACGTTTCTTGAGACAGAGAGAGACAGAGCATGATCAGGGCAGGGTCAGAGGGAGAAGGAGACACAAAATCTAAAGCAGGCTTCAGGATCCGAGCTGTCAGCACAAAGCCCGACACGGGGTTCAAACTCACAAACCATGAGATCGTGACCTGAGCTGAAGTTGGACACTTAATCCACAACGCCACCCAGGTGCCCTCAATCAAAGTAAATTTAATGACTCTTACGCATTTGAAGATCTTAAAATCTTCATTTGTATTTATTGCTTTCAATGAGATAAACTGTAAATAATTATTAGCTAAAGACTTACCTTAGTTGTAAGCAACCCAGTTAATATAGTACTGGCATTCATTCAGTGCATATTTTACTTACATTCCAGACACTCTGCTGGATACTTAAACTTCATTATTAATGCAGTGGTTTTAAACTTACAGCCTACAGATGTGTCCTGTTTGAGCCACAAGAGTCAGCTTTGGTTAGTTATACTTTTCAATAAACTATTTTATCAAATTTCCTGAGAGTTTTTAATGTTTACATTTCTACTATATTCATAGTTTTACTTTTTATTTCCTAATATTGTTTCTTGCCATCTTTTTATTTTAAATTATCATTTATGTCATTATTACTGCTTTATACATGTTTTGAATTATTGGTTATTAAAAATAAAGCATATGCATGTGTTTTGGAAATTATATACACTCACTTCCCTTGGGATATGCTCAGAGGTGTAACTGCTGAGCCACAGAGTTTTCTCTTCCGTGCTGATAATGCAGAAGTTCTTTATATACTCTGGGTATGAGACCACTGTTGAATATATATACACACTGCATTATTTTCTCCCAGTCTGTGGCTGCGTTTTCACCTTCTTAATGCTGTCTTTTTATGAAGAATTTTTTCTATTCCAGTGAGGTCCAATTATTCATCTTTTATGACTAGTACTTTTTTTTAGTATAACATACAATGTTATATTAGTTTCAGGTGTACAATAAAGTGATTCAGCAATTCCATATATTACTCAGTTGCTCATCAAGATAAGTGAACTCTTAATTTCCTTTACCTATTTCACCTATACTCCCACCCACCTCCACTCTGATGACCATCTGCTTGTTCTCTACAGATAAGAGTCTAGTTTTTTGGCTTGTCTCTTTTTTTCCCCCTTTGTTCACTTGTTTTGTTTTGTAAATTCCACATTATGAGTGAAATTATATGGTATTTGTTCTTTCTCTGACATATTTCGCTTAGCATTATACTCTAGATCCATCATGATCTAGATGCATCATGTTGTTGCAAATGGCAGGATTTCATTCTTTTTCTGGCTGGACAACATTGTGTGTGTACACACACACATACACACACACACATACCACTTCTTTATCCACTCATCTATCAAAGGACACTTGGGACTGCTTCAATAATTTAGCTGCTTAAATACTGCTGCAGTGAACACAGGGATGCATACATCCCTTTGAATTAGTGTTTTCGTACTCCTTAGGCAAAAACTCAGTAATGGGATTACTGGATTATAAGGTAATTCTATTTTTAATTTTCCAAGGAACCTCCATACTGTTTTCTACAGTGGCTGTACAGTGTACATTCCCACCAACAGTGCAAGAGAGGTCCTTTATCTCCACATCCTCACCAACACCTGTTGTTTCTTGTGTTTGATTTTAGCCATTCTGACAGGTGTGAGATGAAATCCTGTGGTTCTGATTTGCATCTTTCTGATGATGAGTGATACTGAGCATCTTTTCATGTGCCTATTGGCCATCTGTATGTCTTCAGAGATATGTCTGTTCATGTCTTCTGCCTATTTTTAAATTGGATTATTTGTGGGGGGTTTTTTTGTTTGTTTTTTTTTGCTGTTGAGTTGTGTATGGTCTTTATATATTTTGGATACTAACCCTTTAACAGATGTCATTTGCAAATATCTTCTCTCATTCAGTATGTTGTCTATCAGTTTTGTTGGTTGTTTCCTTTGAAACAATAAAAAACAAAAAGTTTTTATTCGGATGTAGTCCCAGTAGCTTATTTTTACTTTTGTTTCTCTTGTCTCAGGAGACCTATCTAGAAAGATGTTGCTATGGCCAATGTAAGAGAAATTATGCCTATGCTGTCTTCTAGGATCTTTATGGTTTCAGGTCTCACATTTAGGTCCTTGATCCATTTTGAGTTTATTTTCATGCATGGTTAAGAAAGTGATCTAGTTTCATTCTTTTGCATATACCTACAGTTTTCCCTACACTATTTGCTAAAGGGACTGTCTTTTTCCCATTGCATAGTTTTGCCTCCTTTGTCAAGGAATTGACCATACAGTCGTGGGTGTATTTCTGAGCTTTCTATGCTGTTCCATTGATCTGTGTGTCTGTTTTTGCATCAGTACCATACTCTTTTGATTACTACAGCTTTGTAGTATAACATGAAATCTGGAACTGTGATTATCTCCAACTTTATTTTTCTATTTCAAGATTGCTTTGGCTATTCAGGGTCTTTTATGGTTCCATACAAATGTGAGGCCTGTTTGTTCTAGTTCTGTGAAAAATTCTGTTGGTATATTGATAGGAATTGCATTAAACCTGTAGATTGTTTGGGGTAGTATGGACATTTTAACAAGATTTGTTCTGGGGCGCCTGGGTGGCTCCAGTCCGTTAAAGCATCCGACTCTTGATATCAGCTCAAGTCATGATCTCAGTTTGGGGGATCAAACCCTGTGTCAGCACAGAGTCTGCCTGGGATTCTCTCTCTCTGCACATGTATGTGTACATACTCTCTCTCTCAAAATAAATACATAAATATTAAGAAAAAACAGTATTTGTTCTTCCAATCCAAGAGCATGGAATGTCTTTCCATTTCTTTGTGTCGCCTTCAATTTCTTTCATCAATGTTTATAGTTTTCAGAGTACGGGTCTTTCACCCCTTGGTTATGCTTATTCCTAAGTATTTTATTATTTTTGGTGCATTTGTAAATGGGATTTTCTTAATTTTTCTTTTTGCTGCTTCATTATTAGTGTATAGAAATACAACAGATTTCTGCACATTTTGTATCTTTCAACTTTACTGAATTCCATTATCAGTTCTAGTAGTGTTTTGGTGAAATCTCCATTTTATATATATAGTGTCATGCCATCTGAAAATAGTAAAAGCTTTACTTCTTCCTTGCTGATGTGGATGCCTTTTATTTCTTTTTGTTGTGTGATTGCTGCAGCTAGGATCTGCAAATACTATGCTGAATAAGCTGTGAGAGTGGACATCCTTGTCCACTAACCTTGGCAGAAAAGCTGTTTTTCCCTGTGGGTTTTTCATACAGGGCCTTCATTATGGTGACGTATGCTCCTTCTAAACCTACTTTGTTGAGGGTTTTTATCACAAATGGATGTTGTACTTTGCGCCTACTGAAATGATCATGTGGTTTTTAACCTTCCTCTTACTAATGTAATATATCACGCTGATTGATTTGCAAATATTGAACCACCCTTGCATCTCTGGAATAAATCCTACCTGATTGGGGTGAATAATTTTTTTAATGTATTGTGGGATTTGGTTTGCTAATATTTTATTGAGAATTTTTACATGTATGTTCATCGGAGATACTGGCCTATATATTTTTTTGGTAGTATCTTTATCTGGTTTTGGTACCAAAGTAATACTGGCCTTACAGAATGAATTTGGAAGTTTTCCTTCTTCTTCCTCTTCTATTTTTGGGAAAAGTTTGAGAAGAATAGATACTAACTCTCTTTAAATGTTTAGTAGAATGTGCCTGTGAAACCATCTGGTCCTGGACTTTTGTTTGTTAAGAGTTTTCTGATTACTGATTCAATTCAATTGAATTGCTTGTAATCATTTGGTTCAAATTTTCTGTTTCTTCCCGATTCCATTTCTGGAGGTTATATATGTTTGTAGGAGTTTATTCACTTCTTTTGGTTGACAAGTTTGTTGGCATATAATTTTTTGTAATATTCTCTTATAATTCTTTGTATTTCTGTGGTGTTGGTTGTTATTTCTCCTTTTTCATTTCTGATTTTGCTGGAGTCCTCTTTTTTCTTCTTTTTTTAATGAATCTGGCTAGAAATTTACAATTTTGTTGATCTTTTCAAAGGACCAGCTCCTGGTTTCGTTGATCTGTTCTACTGTTTTTTTAGTTTCTGTATCATTTATTTCTGTTCTAATCTTTTTTGTTTTTAATTTTTTTAATGTTTATTTATTTTTGAGACAGAGAGAGACAGAGTGCGAGTGGGGGAGGGGCAGAGTGAGAGGGAAACACAGAATCTGAAACAGGCTCCAGGCTCTGAGCTGTCAGCACAGAGCCCAACGCGGGGCTCGAACCCACAAACCGTGAGATCATGACCTGAGCTGAAGTTGGACGCTTAACCGACTGAGCCACCCAGGCGCCCCTGTGATCATTACTTTAAATTCTCTATCAGGCCGGGGCACCTGGGTGGCTCAGTCGGTTAAGCGTCCGACTTTGGCTCAGGTCATGATCTCACGGTTTGTGAGTTTGAGCCCCGCGTTGGGCTCTGTGCTGACAGCTCAGAGCCTGGAGCTTGCTTCAGATTCTGTGTCTCCCTCTCCCTCTGCCCCTCCCCTGCTCACTCTCTGACTCTCTCTTTCAATAATAAATAAACGTTAAAAAAAAATTTTTTTTTAATCTTTAAATTCTCTATCAGGCCTATTACTTATCTCAGTTTCACTTAGGCCTCTTGCTGTGGTTTTGTCCTGTTCTTTCATTTCATTTGGAACATATTCCTGTTTCCTCATTTTGTCTAATTCTGTGTCTATTTGTGTGAGGAAACTCACTTAAGTCTCCTGCTCTTGAAAGTAGTGGGTGGACCACGCAGTTTTAACAAGGTGCGCACTGGTCCTCTTCCAGAGGGGACATGCCTCCACCACCGTAGACCAGCCCTGGTGATCTGCAAAGCACATGTTCAGCGGGAGGGTGGTGCACACAGTGCCCGTAAGTTTTCCAACAGCCCTCTTCCACAGGGGACGTGTAGGCACTGCCAAGACCAGGGCCAGTTGGGGCTGATCTGCAAAGGCAGGGTGCTCAGTTCTAACAAAGTATGTGCATCCTCCATAGGATGTAACCAGCCATTGCCACCAGGACCGAAGCCCCACAAAATGCAGTGTCAGGAGACTTGGAGTTGGCAAGGCCTGTGTTGGTCTTCTAGGGTAAGGGACTTATGGCACCAGGGCTGAGGCAGGCCTGCCTGGGAAGGCAGAGTGCAGTATAAGCAACTTCGATAGTGAATAGTTCCCATAGGTGGCTGTGCAGTTTATGCTCGGAGGTGGGGAGGGAAATGGCACCAGTCAGCTCCTTTGTCCCTGGAGAAGTCCCTCAGGGAACCCTATCCCTCCAGGATACACTCTGACAGGAGTAATTAACTCTCCCTCCCCTACGCCCCAGGCATTTTTCAAACTGCTGCTTCAATGCAGTATCTCTGCAGGCTGTTTGTTGTGCTGTCCCTCTAAGGGTGGAGACTCAATTTCCAATCACTCTCCCTGCTCTCCTAAAACCCAGCCTGCTGATTTTTAAAGTTCCAGGTTTAAGTCCCATTGGTTATAAGAAATCTTGAAATTTCTTTCAAGAAATAAGAAACTCATGAAATTCAGCCCCTCTGGTGTTCAAAGCCAAATATCATGGGGCTTCATCTTACCCACACAGGCTCCCAGGTGTGAGGTCTCTCCCCTCTCCATGCTGGTGATGTCCCTCTCTCCCACAGACAGTCCTATAGGTCCCTTTTGTTCCCAACCACTTCTCTGCCCTTCTTACCCTCTTCTATGCGGTCTCTTCTCAACATTTAGTTGTAGAGTTTATTCTGGCAGGCTGTTTTCTGGGTTATTTACACTGATATGAGTGTCACCTAGTTGTATCCATGGGAACAGGTGAGCCCAGGATCCTCCTACTCTGCCAACTTTCCTGAAGTCTGGCTAGTACTTTCTATATGCTGTTTAAACGATCTTTGCTTACTCCCTCTATTTTAATATATTATTTGTCTTCTGATCCTCAGTGACAACTGAGTGAGAATCCTGATCCTCAGGATATTCATTAAATATCCACTAGTCTTTCTGATTCTATCCTCTACATTTTTAAATTCTTTTCTATGTTTTTCTGTGCCACATTTGAGGTAACCTATCTTGCACTTCATTAATTTCCCCTTCATGTATGTCTTATCTGCTGTTCAAACCACCTGCTGAATCTTTAATTTTAAGGGCTGTATTTTTCATTTCTAGACACCTAATTCTGTTCTCAGGCTGTCTATTCATTTCACAAAATATACTGTTCTTCTCTGATTCATTTGTCAGTCCAATTATATATTCAGGGTTTTTTTTCATATTCTCATTCTATCATTTCGGCATCCTCAGGGTTTAATCCAGCTTTGTACTGTGTCTTGTTGATTCTTCCTATGGACTTTACGTCTTCTAACTTTTATTATAATCTTATCTTGAAGCTTGAGTTTTGGGGGTATCTCTCCAGAAAGACTTTGTATCTGCTTCTGTACAAGTTCCAGAGATATCAGCATCCTGATACCAATTGTCATGTTGACTTCTCACCTTGGGCATTATGGTATAAATTTAACCCAAAATATATCATGTCCAAATAATCCTAACATTCAAATAAACTTACATCAGATTAATCGTTTTATGGAATTAAAAACATGGGACAAAACAGGTTTAATAAAAGAGGAAAAAAATCTACCTTTTCAGCAGAAGAACCTGTCAGAACAAAAGTTGAAAAAACTGGAAGTGGATATTTGGTTTGAGGATCCCAACATTCAATAGTAGCTCCCATTGGAAGGCAGAAGAGAGGTACAGATTCTGAGAGTGGAAATGACTCATAGTCATCTTCTGGATATCTAAAAATTAAACCTTTTGGAGAAAGAGACAATAATAAATTTTTAAATAGTTACTTTTCCATAAATTATATCTGATACATATTAATAGGATATTTTAATAGTAAATTTCATGGAAATATTTATGTGTGAAATTTCAAAATAATTTTTTCTCTTGCCATATCAGAAATTTAAATTAACAAATTTACCATTTTTTAAAAATTATGGACTTATAGTTCATTATAACATTAAAATGTATTGAATATACAAGCTAAAACTATTCAACAGGATCACCAACCTCAATGTATTCTCTTCTACATACCACAACATCTTATGGAGAGTGGTAAGGAACATAAAGGAAAATTTACTAATTACTTCAGTAAAAAATTCAGGGAAGGAGTAAGTGTTATGAAATAATGCCAAGGCACCAGAAATTATCAGAGCCCCTAAACTCATCTTGAGAGAGCAGCAGTATAAAAAGCATTCAACATGAAAAGTAAACAAGACAGAAATCTTGTGGCTGAATACAAAGTATGTGAGACCAACAAAGCAAGAGCAGGGGGCACTCTAGCAAGCATAACAAAGCCCCTTCAGAATAAAGTAGCTATAAAGCATCAGTTCATTAGCCTCTGATGTCTCTAATAGGCAGACCACCTCTAAGTTAAAATCTTGAAAGTCAGTAGCAGAATTCTGAGTTAAAATTCAGTGTGCAAAACTCTACGTTCTAAAAACATGTCTTTAATCAAACACCTGAATACTTTCACAAACCTTGTTTCTATAAGGGTTTCTTTTTTAAAATGATACTTTTTCCGCTCCCCCCCCCACAGACAAATTTAGGAAATCACATACAATCAACACATTACAGCAGTATTACCAGTATCACATTTTAAAATGATACTGAAATTTATAATTATTAGATGCTGCCTTCATTTTTATATTAAAAATTATATGGTCTGGTTTATTAGCATGAATGTCTTTAAGAAGACAATTGAGATTTTTAAGAAGACAATATGGGATTTGCCAGACTTCCCTGAAGTAAAATTTTATTCCAAAAATTGTGGCAGCTGGGTGGCTCAGTTGGTTAAGTGTCCGACTCTTGATTTCAGTTCAGGTCATGATCTCACAGTCGTTAGATCAAGCCCCACATTGGGCTCTGCACTGAGCATGGAGCCTGCTTAAGATTCTCTCTCTCTCTCTCTCTCTCTCTCTCTCTCTCTCTCTCTCTCTCTTTCTCCCTCTCCCTCTGCCCCTCTCCCCGGCTTGCACACGCTCTCTTTCTCTCTCTCAAAATAAATAAACATTAACAATAATAATTATAAAATAAACAAAAACTGTGCATGATCAAAAAGTAACTGACACTGCTTCTTTTCACAAGGAAGTATTCCAGTATCTTCTATTTACAACTGGAGCATACCTGTAGTTTCAGTTTTTATCCCACCATACCAGTGGGATGAAGAGGTCACACTTAAATCTTTACAGCCCTTGACACTTTACTGTGCAGTAAGAATGTGGCGATAGATTTCTCAAACACTTCATGGCAGAAAAGTTTCTCAGGCCCTCCTCTCCTCCATATAGCTGATTCTTTGCAACAAAGGAGAAAGGAAGCAAGTCCACCTTTCATGGCAAGTAACATGTGGTTTCAAATCAGACACACAGAAATAAGAGAAGGAAATGTAAGAAGTAAAGATGCAGTTTGACACCTTTCCGATTGCCAAAATACAAAAGGTCAGAGAGAGTAAGCAGTTTTTCACTGAACTGTTAAATGTCTTAGTGTAGACTAAAAGCTTGAATGTTCACTTCACAAACGCTTACCTGGGATGAAAATTTCTACTTAACAACATGTTTGCAGAGGGGGGCCGGGGGGGTGTAATATTAATATATCTTGTAATATGTAATGTATTTAAGAAAACTTATGCCTTTACAGCCTTTACATGCTAAAATTATAGATAATTCAATTTAGGAATAGACCAATCCCATAAACTACATAAGGGAGCATACATCGTCTCCTCCAACCAAATGTTAATGTTAGGTGAGTGTGATGACCACTACACTACAGGAACTAACCAAATGTTAATGTACAACAATAACTACAGTAACAAATTTTTTTAAATTTACTCACCAGCTTTGTATGCTATTGCATTAGAAGCAGGCACAGACTTCTTATAACACAGAAATACACTGGAACCCCACTGTAAAATATAAATTATTTTTTAAGAACACCAAAGAGTGAAAATAAATTGATTCTGTTGAATGTCTTCTAAAGATTCTATTTATTCCCTGAAGTCTATGTAAAACACACATTTATCAAACAGACTACAGACAATAAAAAAATAGCAAAACATGAAGTTCAGAACACTAAAAGAAAGGAGTAAAAAAACATTGCCACAAAAATTAAATTGATTAAAAAAAAAAAAAACAGTTTTGAAAAGTTTAGAATGGTGTAATCTGACACTTTGAAAGAAACAGCACAAAGCTGAGTGGGCCGTAGGGCCCAAACTAAGGAAGACTGGGGTAACTGAGAAGCTATGATGTCATTACCTCCAGGGGCAAACTGTCTTGACTAATAGCCATGGGTACATCAGACATCTTTGCCTATATCACATTAAAGCTAGTAATAGATTTATCCAAAAATATTTTTCAAAATAAATCTGACCCAGTAGTAAACTTCAGTCTCACAGAAGTATAAATCAGAGGTGCTTAAGAGACTCAATCAGTTAAGCATCCAAGTTCAGCTCAGGCCATGATCTCACGGTTCGTAGGTTAAAGCCCCACGTCAGGCTCTGTGCTGACAGCTCAGAGCCTGGAGCCTTCTTCAGATGCTGTGTCTCCTCCCTCTCTCTCTCTCTCTCTGCCTCTCCCCTGCTCACACTCTGTCTCTGTCTTTAAAAAAAAAAAGCATCCAAAAAAAAGCCATGAAATACTACAATAATTAAAATAAATAAATATAAGGGGAGTTCTCTATCCAGTCTCCCTAGAGCTGTCCATAAAGATACCTCTAAAACACAAAAGCTAACAAAACCTCTATATTAGTGTAACATAGGCAATATTAGCACATACCACAAAAAATTTTTTAAATCCCTGACTTTAAGTATTTATTTTTTCAATGAAATTATTCCAAAAATCAGATAGCTAAGGATCTTAAAAATTACTATGAATCATAAAAGAGAGATAAAAATAATTTTAAAAAAAACATGAAAATAAAAACAGAGTAAATTATATACCCAATAATAAACAGGAGTCCAAAAATTATCCTTCTTGGGGGTTGGTGTTAAGAGTACACATGCAACAACTTTATTCTTACCATTCCACAATTTAAGTTTTTGTCAACCTTGCAGAAAGTATGAGGAGGGGTTTCTCCTTTACTGGTTACAATAACACAGATATCAGTTACAGCCAAGGAATTCTGGGGTCGAATTAGAGGAGCTCTTCGATAAGTGATAAAGATTCTTTGTGAAGTAGTTGAACTATTGTTGACATTGGCACAGCGACCATAGGGTGTGGCTTGGATCACTTCGCATCCTGGAATAAGCCTTTCTTTCCCTTCATATAAAACTCTGCATGGCAGGGAGGGGAGAAATAGATAGGTAGATAGGTAAGTAAACATAATTCTGGCTTTCCTCTCGAAAACAAACCAACAAAAAATGGGGGGGGGGGTGAGTTCCTCTACTGTTTCTCAAATCTTAATTGTAAACCAAAAGTAAGATCATTACTTTGGGAATTATAGGTCTCTTAACTATTTTTTTCAAAGCTGGAATATAATTTTAAGAGCAAATAAGATCAAATAACTTAATTTTTTTATTGCTCATTACAAGAAACATATGAAACAAGAAAGGGGCAACACCACAAACATCCCAAGGTTGATTCCTAGATCAAGTATTCAGATGTGTCCACAAAATTTCCTTCATAATTCCTGTCAAAACTTTACCTTTAAAATCCTTTGACTAAAACTACAAAACAGTTTAAGAAATTAGATATGAGCATTTAATAAATAAAAAGACATCCCACAGCCACGATAAGATGTAATATTTGGTATGATGTCAATATTTCCCAAAGAGATCTACAGAATCAATACAATTCCTTCCTATCTAAATCCTAGCTGCCTTTTTATATAGAAATTGGTAACGTGAGGGGTGTTTGGGTGGCTCAGTCAGTTGAGTGTCCGACTTCAGCTCAGGTCATGATCTCACAGCTCGTGAGTTTGAGCCTTGCATCGGGCTCTGTGCTGACAGCTCAGAGCCTGGAGCCTGCTTCGGATTCTGTGTCTCCCCTGCTCATGTTCTCTCTCTCAAAAATAAATAAACATTAAAAAAAATTTTTTTTAAGAAATTGGTAACATGATCCTAAAATTCATATGGAGGTTCAAGGGACTCAGTATAGACAAAGCAAACTGGAAAAAAAAGAACAAAGTTGGAGGACTCACACTCTCCCATTTCAAAAGTTACTACAAATCTAGTCATCAGCACAGTGTGGTGCCCCCATAAAGGTAAACATATAGACCAATGGAATGGCATGGGAAGTGCAGAATTAAACCCATACATTTACAGTCAACTGATTCTGACAAGAGTGCCAAGATAATTCAATAGGAAGAAAACAGTCTTTTCAACAAATGGTGCTGGGACAACTGGGTATCAAATGCAAAAGAAAAAGAAGTTGAGTCCCTTCCTTATACCACATATAAGAAATGGATCAAACACTTAAATGTGAGAGCTAGAATGACAAAACTGTTAGACAAAAAACTGTAAAATTTATTAAAAAAAATAAAAATTTGTGACCTTGAATTTTACAAAGCCTTCTTATATAGGATACCAAAAGCACAAGTGACAAAAGAAAAAATTAAAAAAAACTGGACTTCATCAAAATAAAAAACTTCCATGCCACTAGTGATACCATCAAGAAAGTGAAAAGACAATGGACAGAATGTGAGAAAATATTTGCAAATCATGTATCTAATTAGAGAAATCTTTCCAGAATATGTAAAGAACTCTTACAAATCAATATAGAGATAAATAACAATTTAAAATGGATATAGGACTGACAAAGAATATATGGAAATTCTCTGTACTATCCTTTTTATTTTTTTTATGTTTTTATTTATTTTTGAAGGAGACAAAGAGAGACAGAGCATGAGCGGGGGAGGAGCATAGAGAGAGGGAGACACAGAATTCAAAGCAGGCCCCAGGCTCTGAGCTGTCAGCACAGAGCCCATGCAGGGCTCGAACTCATGAACTGTGAGATCATGACCTGAGCCGAAGTCGGACTCTTAACCGACTGAGCCACCCAGGTGCCCCATTCTCTGTCTTATCCTTAACAACTCTTCTGTAAAACTAAAATTATTTTAAAATAAAACATTTTCTTTTCTTTTTTTAAGTGGGCAAAGAATCTAAATAGGCATTCGCCCGAAGAAGGTACGGCTGAAAACATGAACAGATGCTCACCATATTAGCCATTAGGGAATTACAAATCAAAGCCACAATAACACTTCATATACACTGGGAAGACTATAATCAAAAAGACAGATAATTACAAATTGCTAAGGTGAGAGTGTAGAGAAAGTAGAATCCTTATACCAAGATGGTGGGAATCAACTGCTTTGGAAAACAGTCTGACAGTTCCTCAAAGGGTTTAAACATGGAGCTTCTGTATGACTCAGCAATTCTACTCCCAGGTATATACCCAAAAGAAATGAAAACATACATCTGCACAAATACTGGTACACAAATACACATTTAACAGCATTATTCATAACAGCCAAAAAGTGGAAACAATCAAACATCAACTAAGGAATAGATGCATAGAATGTGGCACACCCATATAACAGAATATTGTTCAGCAATAAAAAGCAATGAAGTACTAACCTGTGGCACAAATCCATGAACCCTATCAACAAAGGCCACATGTAGTATGATTCCATTTATAGGAAATGTGCAGAATAGGCATGTCTATAGAGACAGAAAGTAAACTAGTAGTTGCCTAGGGCTAGAGAGTAGAAAGGGGTAGCAGAGAGTGACTACTAATGAATATGGAGTTTCCTTTTAGGGTAATGAAATATTCTAAAATTGGCTGTGATGACAGCTGCATAAATCTGTGAATATACTAAAGACCAATAAATTCTACACTTGAGATGGTTGAATTGTGTGATATCTGAATTATATATGTCAATGAAGCTGTTAGAACCCAACTAAATATTAAAATAAAAAGCCTCTATATTTAAATCAGGATAGTATTAGCAAATCACTAAACAGAAAGAACAATGAACACAAAAATAATCTAGTATGATAATGGTGACATCTCAAAATACTGCTGGAAAGATGGACCTTTTTTAATTTAATAAGCAGTGCTTGAATAACTGAATTGCCATTTTGGGGAAAAAAATTCTATCTGTACTTCACACTGTACACCAGAAAAAGCTCCCAGTGGATCACAGAGATAAATGTCAAGAATGAAACCATACCAGTACTAAAAGAAAATCAGGGGAAACTAGGTGGCTCAATTGGTTGAGCATCCGACTCTTGATTTCGGCTCAGGCCATGATCCCAGGGAGGTGGGATCGAGCCCCATGTCCAGCCCTGCACGGAGCATGGAGCCTGCTGAAGATTCTCTCTCTCCCCATCTGCCCTTCTTCCCTGCTCACACACACCTCTAAAATAAAATATAAAAAGAAAGAAAACCTAGCAGTGGGAAAAGTGTAACTATGACTCAAAATCTAGAAGCAATAAAGAGGAGTAATAAACTTCATCAAATAAACTTTACATGACAAAAAACACAAGTCAAAAGACAAATTATAAACTTGGAGAAAACATTTGGAGACTTATTTCACAAAAAGTTTACCTTTCTAATACATAAAAATGTCCTTTAAAAAAAACAACAAATACATATGTATCAAAAAAGAAGCCAAAACCGTTTCTAAAAAGATATGGTCTTTAAACATATGAAAAATGCTTAATCTCATTAAAATTACTCTGACACATCATTTCTTGACTATGAGACTGACAAAAATTCAAAAATTTGATCCCATATTTTGTGGATGGGACTGTGGGGAAAGCAGCATACACTGATGGTGGGAGAATAAAATGATGGGACATAATGGAGAGAAATTTGGGAACATTTAACAAAATTATGAATGCATTTATCTTTTATCCCAGCAATTCCCTTTTAGGGCTACCTGAAAATATACTTCCACAAATATGTAATAATATATGCACAGTTATTCACTAAAGCATTCTTGTAATAGCACAAGACTGGACAGAACCCAAATGCCCATCAATAGAGGTTTGGATGAACAAAGTATATACATCCACAGAAATAAGTACTATAGAGCTATAAAAAAAGAATGAGAAAGATCTCCATGTTCAGATATGGAAATACACTGTTGGGTGAAAAAACCAAAGTTTAAAATAGTGACTACAGTATTTATATTTTGTTTAAGAGGAAGGATTAAAAATCCTTTTTATGTTTGTAAAAACACACAGTAAAAGGATAAATCAGAAACTACATTAACAGAGAAAGGGAGGGCAGAAAGTATAGAGAAGAAAGTAGAGAAAATAAAGACTGAAGCATTATTTCCCTAAATATAGCTTTTTACATGTTTTGAACTATTACAACATTTTCCATATTAAGAGAAAAATTTTTTTAAACAAATGAAACACAAATAGAAACAGATGAACCTAACTGCATAGCAAATTGGTAACATAACCATATAAGAAATACTATTTCATGGGGCACCTGGGTGGCTCAGTTGGTTATGCATCCATCTGATTCTTGATTTTGGCTCAGGTCATGATCTCACAGTTCATGAGTTCGAGCCCTGCATCGGGCTCCACGCTGATAGTGTGGAGCCTACTTGGGATACTCTCTCTCTTCCTCTCTCTCAAAATAAAAAAATAAACTTAAAAAAATACTATTTCATATAATTTTTTAACACAGTAAGTACTCTGTAAATGCTTGATGGGTCTTATTCTAGGGGCAAGAACTCAGTAAACAGGTTTACTATTGGTAGTAATAGCGATATTGTAACTTTGAAATTATGTATATAAGATGGGGCGCCTGGATGGCGCAGTCGGTTAAGCGTCCAACTTCAG